TGAAAGCTCTGATAGAGATGTACAAAAAAAAAAAAAAAAAAAAAAAAAAAAAAAAAAAAAAATTCAAAGAGACAAATGGATGGATTCCAAATGTTATTTTGGGGAAGACTTAACAAGAAAGTCTTGGTGACTTTCTTCTTAAGAGCTAGAAAATGAACTGTTATATTCAACAACATACACAAGACTTCTCAGGAGTGTAATGAGCTGGTTTGAAAGGTAAGAAGATGTCGGAAATTTAATGAATAAAAAGAAAAGCTACCCTTTCTTATGTGCCTACTTGGTGCCAAACATCTCATAAAGTGATCTAGTGCTCTAGATGTGCTACATCATTTAAACTTTAACAACTCTATGAATTGTGTAAAACCACATCCATAAAAAATTTAAAAAAAAAAAGAAAAAAGAAAAAATAACTCTATGAAACATTATAGTCATCTTATAGAAGAATAAACAAAAGATTTGAAAGGTAAAGTAACTTGTTCGGGTCACACAGTTCATCAGGTTTGGAACTCAAGTCTTTTTAACTTGAAAGGTGAAGCGTTTCAACTACAAGGTATCTCTGGAGGGCAGAAGATTAATTTGCAAAAAGGAAAATTCTTGTTACTGACATTACAAAAGGAAAGGCTGGTTTTGAAAGGTGAGTGAGGAAAGACTCACCAGTTGTGGAGGTCCAGAAAGTACACACTTTGGGAGCCCGGTTTCCTTTAAAGTAAGAATCATTCCTAAAAAGGATGAATAAAATCAGATCTCTCATCAACTTGACCTGTTGTCACTACCAGGACGACGACCCCAAGCTAATCCAGCTAATCCAGGTATTTATCTACATGTCCTCCTTCCAGCTTCAGAAATATCACTAGGAACCTGTACAGAGCAGAAGCGCTGCTGGCTAGAGGTGTAACGGACACCAAATATTCTTTAAATGCCTCTAGAATGGGGTGAGCTGTTACCAGGGTGAAGCAGCAAGGCACCCAGTGTGCAGAATTTAAAGAATCATGCACATGATGGGCTGGACTTAAGTTTCGCACCTTAAGTGACTCATCCTAGCCTCAGCCCTAAGAAAGGAGACTGGTCTAACATTTCACTCCTTTCTGTCCCTGCCAGCAAGCCCATGGAATTTGGTTGTAACACAATCCTGACCTCCCCAGTTGACAGACATAAATGACAGGGTAATCCGGACAGTGGGTATGCACATGGCTGCCAATGGCATCCACAGTAAACATATTAACTATAATCACCACTGCTAGACTCTCCACTTTACTGCCACAAATCTCTGGCCTAGCAACCCAAGAAACTAAGTGGATGGTAACACTTAAGAGGCAGTATCCATATTAAAATCTGCTCTTCTGAGTCACAGCTATTACTGCTCTGTGCTGCAGCTGACTGGGTTGGTATAAAAAGATTCCAGGCCAGGCATGGTGGCTCATCCATGTAACCCAGCACTTTGAAAGGCTGAGGCAAGAGGATCGCTTGACCCCAAGAGTTTGAGACCAGCCTGGGCAACACGGCGAAACCCCGTCTCTACAAAAAATACAAAAAAAATTAGCCAGGTGTGGTGGTGCATGCCTGTGGTCCCAGCTACTGGGGAGGCTGAGGCGGGAGGATCACCCGATCCCAGGAGGCAGAGGTTGCAGTGAGCCAAGATCATGCCACTGAAAAAAAAAAAGTCTAGCGGCCCACCCCAGACTCGGAAAAATGGTAAAGCAGGTTAAAATTCCGGAGACTTACTACCAGCCTCTGACACTACAAAGAATATACTCACCACATAAGCCCCCAACATTAGACCAGTGCATTCGTGTCAGGAATATGTTGTCCAGGCGAGCAACCTTCAACCTAAGAATGAGAAAACATTTGAACAGGATAACATGAATAGCAATGACCACTTTTGCTATTAAAAAAACACTGGCCTCTCATTTAGGCTTTCAAGCCCCATAATCAACTCCTCCCAAAAGCAAGAGATTGACTCACTTGTGCTCCTGCATGAGTCTCTGAACGCCTTCTCCACAGTTGAAGAGATACCTAAAAGACAAACATTACACAAGACACCCACAAGGTTTTATTCTGTAAACTCTCTGACACCAATTAGATGCTTTATTTTAGCATCTAATGGAAAAAGAACAAAAAAAGAAAAAAAATTAAAAGTCCACCTTGAACTACCGAGCCACATTTCTGCCATTTGGATGGGGGGGTTTTGAGTCCTCCTTAGAAGAGGTGGAGTGGGGGCCTGTGTGCGACTGCTGGGCCAATATGGGTCCTTTCCCCACCACTGGCTCTTCACCAGATCCGTCCACTCCAGATGCTAACAACGACACACTGGCCTTGGGGTGCACGGAAGAGGATGAAGCTCCGAGAGCACTGAGTGCCAGGCCAGGCCCAACGGTTGGGAAGAGGACGCTCAGACCCAACTCTTAAATTCTTCATATATCCCCAGAAATCACATGGACGCAAGGAATCTGCGGGTTCCCAACCACTAAAACTCCAAGAATCCCCGCAACAGTGAAATCCCACACGAGTGAAGTAGGGAAGCCGAAGCGCTGGGAGGTGCCCGGATGCTCTGAGGTCTACTGAACTGAGGGCCCGGCGGGATTGGGCGTGGATCGCTGAGGGGACGCGGGCGCCGCGCACTGACCGGTTGTACTCGGAAAAGACGTAGAGCGCGGCGCCCGCGTCCCGGCGACCCGAGGCCACCACCTGCAGGTACACGGTGTTCGGGCTCTCAAAGCACCCCGGCGGGCCGCGCTTCTCTCGCGTGCGCAGGTGCCGCAGTGGGTCCTTGGGCGGCCGCTGGCGGCGCGCAGATCCCTGCGACAAGGTGCGCTCCTGCGACATGGTGCGCCTGGCCCCGGACCGCAACACGTAGCAAAGCGCCCACATGCGCCTATCTCCACCAGAACTGAGAAACTCGCCGGTCACCTCCGTCCGCGTGCCCCATGCACCGCCCAGCCGCTCCGCATGGCGGATCCAGCCAATCAGCGCGCCGCGCACAGAGCTGCCCGCCTACTCCAGGCTGATCATCCAATAGGAAGGAGTCTTACGCTCGGGATTTGTAAATTGGCAGCGACCATAGAGTAGAGGAATACTAGAGCGTCTCAATCGGCCCCGCCCCTGGTTCTTTTCCTGTTTCCTAGTCTCAATTTTTTTCCGGAAGTCGTCCTTTCTCCTGGGGCGGGACTTCCGGAAGCGCAGGGCTGGGAAAAGCCTTCCTGAGGAAGTCGGGTCCTTGGAGTTTTGAGTTTCGCTGAGCGGCTCCTGTTCACACCAGAAATGAGCTGTGCCCTCAGGTACGTCAGCCCCTCCTAGCTTGAGTTTGAGGTGGTTGTAGTGGTTATGAGGATTAAATGTGAGGAGATCAATTGTATTGAGCGTTGGCATAGGCGCTTTTGCTGATTATGTTTCCAGTGTAATTCGTATGCATACATGTTAGAAAATGATCATTTTTACGTGGTGGCGCGCGCCTGTAGTCCCAGCTACTCAAGAGGCTGAGGCAGGAGAATCTCTTAAGCCCGGAGGCGGAGGTTGCGGTGAGCCGAAGTCGCGCCACTGCCCTCCAGCCTGGGTGACAGAGCGAGACCCTATCTCAAAACAAAACAAAAAAATATCTTTTGTGTTTTTCGGAAAGAAAAGCAAGAATAGTTGACAAGCTCTAAAGCAAGAGAGTCTTGGCTCATTTGCTAGCTGCGAGACTTTGACTTCTCAGGGCTTCAGCTTATCTGTAAAATGTGAGTAATAACAGCAATAATAGAATCCTACTTCAGAAGATATTTAGAATTCAGTCACCTAATAATGTATCAGCAGCCCTCTAAGTGGCACTGTCACAAGAGACACCCAGTAAATGGTAGAAAATTAAGGAAAATGCAAAATGTTTCGACACATATACAATATAGCTGACCAGGGACATCACAGAGGTAGGTATCCCAATACCAGCTCTTTGAAAAACACACTTAGTCCCTTCCTGTGTATCTAATAAGAATTTCTCACCGAAAGCGATTTCATTTATTAAAACAGCTAGAAATATAGAGAGCTCCCTTATAAAGGGACATAATTGACCTGGAAACTCCATTCAAATACAAATTTTTTAAATGAATACTGAAAAATGTCACTTTTATTTAGGAAATAGGAGAGATTCAAGTCATATCAATTCCTACACAGAAATCTTGACACCTGACTTTACAAGATGAAACATTTTCATATGCAGACCAGTTTCCTCTTGGTTTCTTCAGTTGAGTCAAAACTACGCGTTCCTCTTTCTCCATATGTTTTTGCTCATTAGTGTATTTCTTGAGCTGTTTTCATTCAAATACGTAACATTTTTGTGGAAGATTACCACACACTGTGTGAAAACGTTGTACTTGAAATAACCATCCCAGTGAGGGTCGGGAAAATGCTTCAAATCTATTTTACACTATTAGAGTCCTTTACAAACTGAAAAGATGGTCATACCACCATCCCAATAAGTATTCAAAATAAAAAAAATAGTTTTTTTTTAATGTTTTTTTTTGTTTGTTTTTTGAGACAGAGAGTCTTCCTCTGTCTCCAGGCTGGAGTGCAGTGGCGCGATCTTGGCTCACTGCAACCTCTGCCTCCTAGGTTGAAGCAATTCTCCTGCCTCAGCCTCCCGAGTAGCTGGGACTGCAGGTGTGTGCCACCCCGCCTGGCTAATTTTTGTATTTTTAGTAGAGATAGGGTTTCACCATGTTGGCCAGGCTGGTCTCGAATTCCTGACCTCAAGTTAACTGCCTGCATGGGTCTCCCAAAGTGCTGGGATTACCAGCGTGAGCCACCGAGGCCAAAAACAGTTTGTAAAAGCTACTTAAAGGCTGGGCATCTTTGCTCCTATCTGTAATCCCAGTACTTTGGGAGGCCAAGGCTGGAGAATAGCTTCAGGCTAGTGTTTCAATACCCACACTGTGGCCAGGCATGGTGGTTTATGCCTGTAATCCCAGCACATCAGGAGGCTAAGGCAGGGGGATCACCTGAGTTGGGGAGTTCCAGACCAGCCTGGCCAACATGGTGAAACCCCAACTCTACTAAAAATTTAAAAATTAGCTGGGTGTGGTGGTGCACACCTGGACACCTGACTACTACTGGGATCCCAGCTACTGGGGAGGCTGAGGCAGGAGAATCAGTTAGACCTGGGAGGTGGAGGTTGTAGTGAGCCAAGATCATGCCATTGCACTCCATCCTGGGCGACCGAGGGATACTCCATCTCAAAAACAAACAAACAAGCTCTGGCAACAACTCAAGACCCCATCTCTACCAAAAAAGACCAAAAAATTAAAAAATAAATAAATAAATAGCCAGACATGGTGGCATACAACTGTTGTCCCAGCTACTCTGGAGGCTGAGACAGGAGGATCACATGAACCCAGGGTTTTGAAGCTGCAGTGAGCTATGATCATACCACTTTACTCCAGCCTGGCTGACAGAGTGAAATGCTCTCTACAAAAAAATTCATTAAAACTGCTTTTAAAAAGTGTACTGCAATAAAATATTGATTTGTTTTTTCCTGTGATGACTACTTTGATCCTTTTAAATACATATATCAAATTTCAGACACACATGAAAACATTGGTTCCTCTATTTTATGGATGCCCTATGTGCATATCTATCTGTTGGGTAATCTCAGAGTACTTATCTCAAAGCTATAGGAAGAATCACTTTTGGTCATCTACTTATATAAAATTCTGAGGGCTGCATGGTATTTGGGTTATTTCTAGGGCCCAGTATGCCTTTCTGCACTTAGACTGTAGGTCCTATTTTTACTCCTGGTATATAAAGATGACAGCTAGTACATCTTCAATCTGAGGTTATACTGGAATGCAAATTTCATGAGCCTGGGATTTGTCTGTCTGGTTCTCTGTTGTATCATTAGCTCCTAGGACAGAGTCTGGCTTGTGGCAAACAAGAAACACTAGGAAATTAGAAACAAGCCAGTAGCTTAGATGAGGTTTTCAATTTACAACTAAGCAGGGTCTAAAATTCAATCAAGACAACAACTGTGTTTTCTGAAGGGGATTGGTTTGACTGGCACCTCCAAAAGGGTAGTTCAGAGAGTCGGAAACAGAAAAGTGTCTCTGGACTTGCTGGAGTAGCGGCAGCCTGGCCATTACGACAGCAGAGAAAGTGGAAATCGAGATAATAGACTTTCAGAAGTCAGTGACATCAGCAGTGAATATAATCCAGCCACTTTCTCTTGCTTTGCGTCTCTTTTTGTTTTCCGTTTTGTATATGAACAGCTTGTGGCTTGAAATCACTTTCAGTCCTTTTGTTGCTCACGGCTGTGTTCGGTAAGAATAGTCTGACTCTGCTCCTTGCAGGGGCTGCTAGATAGCTCAGTGGAAGTAGAACCTCCAACATGGCCCCACTCCCAGGTGTGGGACCCGCGTATTGGCTCTGCTGGGGGTGCTTTAGTTCATTTCCCATTGCCTTTCCATCTATGTAGACGGTCCACATTCAGTAGTCAGGCTGAGCTTCTTTGAACGGTGGTCAGCCTCCAGGAGGATGAAGTGAAATTGCAGTCCTTCTGAAGAATTAGGCCCAGAAGTCAACACAAGACACAGATAGCAGTCATCTGGATTCAAAGGAAGGAAAATTATATTCTATCTCTTGAGGGGAGAAGTATCCATGTCACATTGCAAAAGGGCCCTTGGAATGGAAAAGTCTGGGCTTCCTTGGAACCCACTGATTATCCTAGGGGGTCCTATGAAGAGATGTCTGCTGGGCAGAATAATCTGGCCAATGAATGCTGGTAGCAGTACGTTTTCATATGCCAGTAGTTACAGAGGTATAATTTGACTTTCTGCTGTAAGTATGGTTGCCACGAGCAAGTCTACTCATCTCTGGCCATCTCTTGGATGTATTCAGAAATTGGACTTTTATACCTACAAAGCTGGGGCAGTTCCTGGGATCCCCAAGATCTGGTGATCTGACCAAGAGACACATACTTTAGGGCCCTGTCCGAAATACTCGCTGGCCTTCTCCACACAGACATTCATTCATTGATTCATTTGATACACGCTCACACGCGCGCACACACACACACACACACACGAGTTTCTAGACACTGTTCTAGGATTCTAGATACTGTACTAAGACCTTGATGTATAGAAAGATCAACAAGGTTGTGGGAAGTAGAAAAGTTACTTTTTAAAGTTTCCTTTCTTGTTAAAGAATAATGTGCTAATAATTCTTTGTTAAGCCCTATCCTATGTAGCTATGTAGCTGTTAGAGACATCACGCTTACTGGCATGTAATAGTACATTCTTTGTCCTTGTACTTTAACCAAGATATCTGTGCTGGACGTGCTCACAAGCATGTCCCAGCTCTCCATTGCTTTTACCTGTTAAGAACATTTTTTGATTATTAGCCAATCAGGTTTTAGTTTACATTGTGAGGTCTGGCTCCGGCCAATGGAGATCAAACGCAGCAGTAAGGATGACCCCAAATGGGTAAGGAATAAATTTGTGTGGTTTCCTTTGTTCTTTGTGCTCTCCTGGCATGTTGGCTACCGTGGGTGCCCTTCCTGCAGTCCAGAAAGTAAAAATTGTGTTGCTGAAAGATCCTTTGTCCCAGTACTAATTTTTTTTTCTTATTTTCCTATTAAACCAAAAACAAACCCAGTACTAATTTTTCTTTGTGGCACCGAGCATCTGTTTCCAACAAAGGTCTTGCTCTCAGAAAGCTCAGAAAGTTGGTGTCTTGGAGCCTGGGATGGGGTCCCAGGGCACACAGGAAAATGTTATAATAGAATCAGGTCAGGGATGCTTTTGCCTTTATTGGGTCTTAGGTGTTTCTGGTTTAGATCCCTAGAAACCCAACAACTCCAAACTTGTTGGCCACAATACATCTGAGTGAGAATTGGTTTCTGAAAATAAAGTTATTTTGGGCCGGGTGTGGTGGCTCACGCCTATAATCCCAGCATCGCGGAAGGCTGAGGCAGGTGGATCATCTGAGGTCAGGAGTTCGAGATCAGCCTGGTTAACACA